TTTTTTCCCATAGTCTTTTACTTAATCTTTTAAACACTAATAAACATTTTTATTCTGTTCTTCTCTCCTGATAATTTGTGATCGGCATTTTTATGTGTCGTTACATTATCTTCACAACAGTCATTTTAAAGAAAGAATTGAGGGACTGGAGTTTGGGAAAGGAAAGGAAGAAAAAGTGGATGGCAGAGATGTTTTCTTGCGTGTGTATGTATGTGTGTGTGTCATTTTTATTTTAGAAAGTACTGAATAATTCACTTCACAGAGCTAGGGAACAAGATACAGCAGGAGCTGTATGAAGGTCGAGTTACTTCTAAATACTTTGTTTCTAAAATACATATAACAAACACCAAAAGACAAAACAGAGTACATGTGGCCAAGACGCCCCTTTTCCTGCTCCCCTCCCCACTCCTCTCCTCCCTTCCCCTCATAAATAGAGAGGCTTTTCCTCCGCAGCCTCTAGACCTGGCAGATCCCCTCATCATGCCCGGTGGAGGGGCTCTGCGCTGAGAGCTGGGCGGGAGAAAAATATTCCCGCCCCCCGGATTTTCTCATGCTTTAGCATGGCGTGGTTCTAAATGAGTAAAATCCCATCATGCTGGTATTGGGGATGGGCCTCTGGATAAACATTTGGAAGATACATAATATTTAATAGTTACACCTCTAATCACAAAGAAATAACTATGTAGCAAACACTTTCCTCAGCTTTTCCTGTCTCAAGCTTCCAAATTGGTCTGTATCACCAGAGCCTTAAATACACTTAACCATTCCACTATAGTTAGAAATTTAGGGTTTCAATTTTTCACTGCAAAAATAACATTACAATAATCATCTATATTTTTGCATATGGTATTTTTCATATTTGAGATTTTTTTTCTCTAAAATAAAATAGAAGTGATACTATTGCATAAAAAGGCCACATACACTGTTATATAACTTTAAAATTATTGTTAGGGACAGAAAAACAAGTGAGAGGTAATGAAATCAGAAAACAGAAAGGAGAAAACAGTGATAGAAAAACAAAAAGGAGGAAATGGTTGCAGAAAAATAAAAAGAGGGAACAGTTATTTCAGTCTTAAAGA